AGCCTGCGTCACGGCATGCCCGGCTGTCTGGCTGTGCCTCTGCGCACCCCGGAGAGCGGGGCCACGGGCAGCTCTGCCAGGCTGCGGCCCCAGGTGATGTCAGGACGAGAGCGTAGGACCGGGGCAGCTGCCCCGCAGCTGCCGTGCACTGGGCGAGACCCCTGTCTCCTCTCCAGCTCCCGCGCAAAATTGAACCTTGTCTGATGTTCTCCGAGGTCTGGCCCTCCTTAGACTATAGGAGGACTTGAAGGCCTTTTAAATTATGTTTGGATTTGGTTTTAGTTTAGCCGGGGTGAGTTTTGAGCTGGCTCCAGGGGGAAATTTTCCTTGAAGGCGGATGCTGCAAAGCACTCCCTGGACATGCAAAGGATGTGGCCATGCTGCGATCGGGTCAATGCCTCGTGCAAAAGGAGCTGGTGGGCTTTAAGGGGCAACCTCACGGCGCAGCGCTTGGTAAGCGAGGTGTGAGCCCCGTGCTGGGCGCTTGCTTGCCGGCGCTGCGTTTCCACCAAACCCTCCCAGAGATCTGTCCCCGGGTCGTGGCTCCCAGCCTTGTAATCAAGCAGAGGGTCCCTGCTGACGCGCGAGCTGGGCGCGAGGCACCAGCCCGGGCATCGCCAGGGCAGGCTCAGGCAGTGGGGCAAACAGCCCCGCTCTGGGCATGGGGGAACAGAGCAGAAGAATTAACTACTAGCCCCGTCCCACGCTCTGCAAGTCCTACAGTTTGCTAAAGGGTCCAAAGATCGCAGGTAAGGGCTGGCGTTGGGCCCGCGAGGACTCTGCGGGGCCAGTCCCAGTGCCACAGGTCTGCCTGTAGCCCTGCACATAAAAAAACACCGCCCAAAGAGGCGATGCCTTTTCCTGGCCCTGGGGCCAACTGGCGCAGGACAGCCTGGGTCCACACGACTCAACTCCTGCAGCCCCCGGGACGTTGTACATGCAGCCGGCCGAGCAGGAGTTGCTCCTGGCCCATGCCAGCCCCCAGACTGTGCCCAGGATGGTTGGGAGCCTGCTAGTCAGCCTGGGCCTGAATCAGGGCAGAAATGGAGGTAATAACTGGACAAATTAGTTCACTTTTGTGGGAACCTTCCCTGTCCTTGTTTCATGCACCAGCACAGACGTAGCCAGACAGTCTGGGATGAACCCAGGCAGGAAATGGTCTGGCAGAGCTGTGTTTGTATATGCCAGAGACCAGAGTAAACTGCAGTCACCCTGCTTTGGTGTCTCCCCTGTGCAGCACGTGGGGTGTCTGCTCCAGATGGGGCCGTGCTGTAGCTGAGGAGCCGGACGCAGGCGGGAGCCCACAGCTCAGGGTTCGATCCCTGACTCTCTGCCTTGCCGGGGGACGCAGCGCTGCAGCAAGAGGTTTGTCTATGCACAACATCAGAGGTGCACCAGGAGAAGTACTGGCACCTCTGAAGACATCAGACACCCGCAGCTGCGTGTCCTCCTGGAGGGGCTGTCCATGGGACAGGCCCCAGAGGTTTCATTCTGGGCCTGCCAGGCTCCCATATGGGTGTTAGGTGCTACATGTTGTCACTAAGAACCAAAATCCAGTCCACAATGCTGTGTAATAGTGAAAGTCCTGCAAAAGGCAGTTGTGTCCCTGTTCCGGATGCATGACACGGTCAACAGGTCTGCATGACTGCTCTTGAGTGGAGCAAGTCAAGGAGTGCATTAAAATAGCCAATTCTGCTACTAGGTGCGTCGCGATATTTCCCCAGCGCTTGCGAGTAGGATCATGCTCGCCATCCCCTGGTCCCGCCTAGGACTCCACCTCGAGGCAGGGGGACCCGCTGTGCCCAGGGGGGTGGAAGGCATGGATGCTATCGATTGGGGAAACTGAGGCACCTGCCGAGAGCAGAGGTTGCCACTGGCCCTGGGAACTGGAGGCGAATGGGAATGGAAGCTGGCACCCCAACTGCTGGCCCTTGGAAAACACCTTGTATTTGCCCTGTGTCATGTCGCAGGTGGGTGCCGAACAGGCTGCCGAGAGCAGGGCGGCCGAAGGGGAATTGGATAAAACAAGAGCAGGTTTATATCCCTGCCCTTAGACATGTTACACTGCCCCACAGAGACCTTTCCATCACTGCCCTGCTTTTTCCCTGTCCCTGTCCTGCACTCAGGATGGGAGAGGGTCCGTCCCGCTGCTGCAAGCTGGAGTTTTATGGAGTGGGGGGCTGGATGCCACTGGAGGAGGTGGGAGCACCCAGAGCTGAGCCTTCTCCCACATCCACGGCAAGACAATGCTTTTGGGGGAGCCTTTGGGACCCCTCCTTTCAGTCCTGCTCCTAGCACAGAGCTATATCTCGCTGCAATGGCCGAGAGACTGCACTGCGGCGCCTGCCATAGTCACTGCTCCATGGCTACCACCCACGCAGGAGCGAGGAAGCTTTCCAGCAAGCCAAGGATCCACCGCCGAGGAGGGGGGGGCTGCAAAGCCCATATGGTGCTGTGCTCCAGCTCCCAAGGGTGGTAGAGAGCTCTGCATGGTGGCTCGGCACTGAACCCACCAGATCACGGGTGTAGGAGCTGGGCAGAGCTTGCCAGCACCCCCTTCCCCAGCTCTGCATGTCACAAGGCCAGGCTGGGCACCACGTCTCCACTGGTGAAGGGGCCGGGCTGCGGACAGCTCTCTGACCGGACGCCAAATGCGGGGTAGCTTGTGTCCATGCTGCTAAATGCTCTTCTTCCTCAAAGCAAAGCAGCCACCTCCAGACTAGTGGGAATGGCCCTGACACCAACTCACTCCTGAACCCTGCCCGCGACCTGGGGGGCTGGCCAGCATCAGCCAAAACCAGCCCAAGGACAATGCAACAGGGTGGGAGTAACCAAGAGATCCTCAAACACGTCAAAATCATGCCTCTCTTTCTTTTAGGGCCCCTTCCTCGAGCTCGTGGACGACAGGGATATGCCGCTCCTGGAAAGGCCATGCCCATGCTGGCTTGCCAGGAGCGCCGCAGGGAGCAGCGGCATGGGCTTCTCTGGGACCATGCTTGCTGCCGGGCCTGGCTGGCAGCACACGCTCCTGTGAGCTCTCACTCTACCTGGCTAGGCTGGGCTGGCCTGGGCTGGGCTGGGGAAGGCTCAGCCTATCCAGTTTTGTCTCCCCAAAAGCTTTGGGATCTGACTTCAGTGTTCTCATGTGGGACAAAAACAAATGTTGAAATCTTGGACTTTTGTTATTAATCATTCCTCTGTGCTGCTGTATCACTAGCGCTCTGTTCACTTGCCTGCTTTAATTGGATTTCGGATTATTATTATTATCCCCTGTGATGTTGTGCCAGAGGTTTGAGGCGGGCCCCGTGCACTCTTTCAAAACATGTTCCTCTCCAGGTGTGGCTGTGTGAACGCAGGTAGCGAGTGATCCCTGGGTCTCCGGTTCACAGATCGTGGGGATTTCTCAGGGTGCAACTGATAGTTGCGTGTCACAGCAACATGCACTATTTAGTGCAGTCCTGATGCCTGCCCTAACCCATGTGCCGGAGAGGCATCACAGCATGTCATAGTGGGCTGCATGCCCTGCATGCCCAGCTCTGCGGGCAGCCCCTCTGCCGGGTCACTAACAGCTCGGCCAGTCCACCTCTTCCCTCACTCTAGGAATGGGGCGCTGGCACCCCATGGACTGTGTGGGCTGTACCAGGTATGAGATCCTTGCGGCTCTCCAGGTAGCAGGCCAGCACAGTAGCTCCTGGGCTGCGGAGAGGCCATGCACAGGCCCTCCTTGCCACTGCAGAAGCAAAGCACGTCTCCCACCTTGGAGGGTGCAGGCCTGGAGCCCTTTCCCCCGGCTACATCCATTCAGCACCAGTTTGCATCACCTTGATGGGCCTGTCCGGGGGAAAGAGACTCCCTCCTTGCCAGCTCCATGGCAGGGATCTTTCCAGCTTCATCATTGTGGCTCTCTCCAGCCACCCTGTGGCCACTTGCTCCTAGCCCAGCCTGGCTTACTTAGAGTTTGATGCTCATCCCAGCTCAAGCCATGTCTATGGGAAAGCACATCCAGGGGGTGTCTGCAGAACCAGCCTCACGCTGGGACGTCATCAGGCCCTGCCTGCAAGCAGGGGGGGGAGTTTCTCAGGCCTTGCAGCCCATCCTGTTTCATCTGTGATTCCATTTAAAACAAAGCAGCTGCTTCTCTAAGCTGATGGGTTTCTGGGGTAAGGAACATGCTCAAGTATTATAAAGCACCTGGCAGACAAGGCCAGGAAGGTCACATCTCCCTCTGCAGAGGCTGCATTTGTCTTGTACTGTTCAGCTCCGGGGGCCGGAGCAATTCGGACAACCAAGTTGTGGTTTCTCCATGCTGCTAGAGTTTGGATACAGGATCTCTGCTCCTGGGAGGGTTACCACCCTGACAAAGAGGACAGAGAAGTGCCTCTCTCACTCAAGGAGGGATTTTTTTCCTAAGGCAGTGGCTTTGTGGGAGGTTGTACCATGCTGTTTGCAATGCTAGGCTGCCCTCAGGTGGGAACACTGCTGTTCCAGGAGCTAGGCTTAGCCCCAGGCCAGGTCTGCTCCTGCCTCA